ATTCCTCAAATTTTATAAATTCATATATTAATGTTAATTTTTACTAAATTCATTGCGGAAGATCTTCGGTAAAAATTACCGAGCTCTTTGGTGCTTCCATAGAACCAGAAATACTTTAAATGTTACCATATTCTGGTGAATTTTAAACCATATTTTTTTCTAAGTGTTCATTTCTAAGTGTGTAGTTTTTTAAATGTGTATTTCTTTTATCAAGTGCAAAATTTTTCAAATGGTAATAGTTTTATTAAATTTATGCTAATTTGCTACCTTATGTTATCCAAGGTCTTGTATTTTAGCCTTCTTCTTTATTATGGCTCGGAAGCGAATGGCAATTTTAGTTCACAATTGACGATAGATTTAATTTTTATAACGTTTCTAAGGTGAGATATTAGATTTTGCATAAAAAATCTAATTAATTCCAGCGTTTTTCTACGTGCATTTTTGTATGAATTAATTTTTGTGCTAAATTCCCCCTTCTTTAAAGTGTAGATTGTGAAGATTATTTATATTGCGCTTATTAATATCTATGTATTTTATTTGAGGAAATAAAAATATATTTCTGTCGCCAATTTTAAATTAATGACTTTTTTTACTATGACTGCTTGGTGCTATTTATTTTCCGTGTGGTAAAAATTGGCAGAAAAAAAATTTATTGTTCTGAAAACAACAGGAAGGAGAAGCAACTGGAATAAAAAATATTATGTTTTTTTCATAATGCAATTTTTTTTCAGTGTAATTTTAATGAATTAAAAAAGGAATGTTTAAACCAATAACTTATATTAAACTGTCAAAGATCAGAGTGAAAGTATTTCCGATAAAATTCATATTATTAAAATAAATATATCTAATTTTATCAAAAATAGATATTTAATTTATTATATCCTTTTTTTATTGAGTTTTATTAATTAGTAACTTATTTGACAAATCCTTGTAAAAACAAATAACATAAATTATTTCTTAAAAATGTAAATATTTTGTAACTTTTAGCTGTTGTTTACTAGTTTTCTTAATGTTACATCAAGATATCACCCTCTTCAAGAAATATTTAACGGTGTTAAGAGAAATGTCTTTTTCGACAAGAATCTAACTAATCTTTGTTTAGCAACGGAGATGAATTTAATTAAGTATCTTTAACTACGTGGAGTCTTAACTTTTTTTTTATTTTTATATTTATTTCCAATGGCAAGGCAAAAAGGTACAAATAGAAAGATGGAATGAATAACAAATACAAATTTACGTAAGATAACAAAGAAAGAAGACCGAAGTCATTGCCTTAAAAGTTCTCTTGCTTCCCAATATCTTGAGGACTCAGTATGTCCATGAAGGGTCCCACATAGAAGCAGGTGGTCCCTGCCCAATTTCTCTCCAGATTTACAAAGTGGAAAAAAAGGCGTGGTGGAAAGACCTATATGGTATAAGTGAGCAGAAAGACAATCGTGGCCTGTATGTAAGCGGAAGGCCGCAACTGAATCACGCCTTAGCTTGTCGGGAATTAAAGAAGAGCTTACATTTCTCCAACTTTTCACAGCTGTGCGAGTCTGAAGGTCTCGCACTGAGTTGGTTTTACATAAATTTTTAAGGAACAGTTTGATTTTCCAAAAGGAAGTTGCCGTATTTGGTTGTTGTAGCAAATTGGCACCTTTCTTGGCAAGTAAATCTGCCTGCTCATTGCCCCAAACACCACAATGGACTGGCACCCACTGGAGGACTATTCATTTTCCTCTCAAAAATAAAGATCTCAAGAGGTCTTGACATAGGGAAATCTCAGGTGTCAAGGGACGTTCATTGTATGTATTCATTGATTCATTGTATGTATTCATTGTATGTATGTTGTTCATTGATTGTATGGCTGCTTGTGAGTCCGTGAAGAGCAGGAATGTATTTTCAAATTTGTGTTGGAGGGCTAGTAGCTGCTGTAAGGTCGTACTCAAGGCCACTACTTTTTCATCAAAGGCGGTGCTAATGTATATCTTAACTAGTTATATTTAGTTAATACATTATATTTTATATAGAACGCATAAAAGTAATTTATCATGTGAATTACATAAGACCTTGTTTGATATAGTAAATGAATCCAAGATATAAATAAGATAAATCAAGAAAAAAATCAAAAGAAAAAAGTCAAGAATGATGAATATGATAGTTTTAAAAGCATTATATATTTTGTTCGAATTCCCGTTCAAAAGAAAACATCAAATGTTTTCAAAGTTAAAAATAAGTTATTTTCTTCAGCTACTCTAGTTAAAATCGGTCTCCTTAAATATATACTTTCCCATAAAATGTCTTACATTATTTTTGTTGACATTCAATATTTAATTTCAGTCAGGACATTCAATATTTAATTAATCAGGAATCACCGTGTTTTAATCACTTACATATACAGTGCGCAAACTAAAATATTGAACAATTAAATACTTTTTGATCTCGTGTTCGAATTTTCCCGCACTAAGATGCAATTTTAATTATGCTTTATATGCACAGTGTGCAAGATTAAACACTGTATTCTTAAACAATTTTTGATCTTGTGTTCGAATTTTAATGCACTAAGATACAATCATAATTGTGCTTTATATATATAGTGCGCAAGATTAAAAAAAAAACTAAATACCTAAATTTTTTTAATCTTGCGTTTGAATTTCGTAGTGCTAAAATGTAACCTTAATTGTTCTAGGGTTCACTCTTAAATATTCTAATTGCTTTGTGCATACGATATTTCCTAAATCAGATACAAAACCGGCCTTTCTCTGACTGAATGCATCATTCTTTTGATGAATAATTTCGATTTTTATTTATCAAAATATGGAGGGTAGTAGAAGTCTGGAAAATATGATACCAATATTTTATTCAAAGGAGAGATCAAAATTTGGACCACTTAATGCCAGTTTAATTTAAAGTAATATCGAATTGTAAGTTTGCAAATATTTAACTCATTTTAAATTATGCAATTTTAAGAGACAGCACACAAATTTTGAACAAAAAAAATCCGCCGATTAGTCTATGCGTAATAAAATGTTTTAAAAAATTTATATTTTTAAATTTTCTTTTCTCAAAAGTTAACTGATTTCGTTTAAATTTTGAAATTATATAGTTTAAAATAGTGTTAAAATTTGTTCACCAAATCAAGAGTATTTTAACCGTTGTAAAATATTTGCATTAAGCAACTGCGCTTTCAAGTAACATTATATCTTTCAGATTGTGGCTATTCCTCCTTTATTTTGTGGTTCAAAAAATCAGTAAAAATGACATGCTTATTCAGCGAAAGTAAATTTTTGTGCCTGATTTTGTATCTTAAAGTATTATCTGCATGACTTAATTCGAACATTTCAGCTTAGCCTTTGAATTATTACGACTGCATCTGCGAACATATAAATCCGAACATTGGATTAAAAGTTATTAAGGCAATCCATATTTTTTTCCGTACTAATAACTAAGAATGCCTATATTCTTTCAAAATGATATAAATATAGCAAGACCCAATATATTCAATGTTATACAAAAACTGCTACATTATAGTAAATACAATGCTGCATAATTGTAGTATTTCATTCAGCTCTATAGCAAAGTGCTCTATGGAATTATTGTGTAATTAATTCTTATGATATAACAATTATACTATGTGAAACTATTCTAAATACCTGATACTTTATGAAATAATGAATCAAATACCAAAGGAATCAATTTTAATGTCATTAATTTCACAGAAGCACATATGATTTGCAGACATATATCATTATTCAAAATTCTGGGTTTGTTATTTTTCTTCGACTTGTGCGAATTGCATTAACTAATTTGTAATTTTTAAGTAATATTTAATTAATGCATAACAAAATTAATGCAGTTTAACAGTTATAAAATTTGTTATTAAATCACCAAATCAGTTTTTTGAAGTGGTAAATAGCGAAAAATTGGAAATGTTTTTTGACATTTAATTTTTTCTTAATGCTGATGTGCATCGATTTATATGTGTATTGAATATATTTTTAGCTATTGCATCAATATTAAATACTTATTAGAATTATTGACTTTTATATGGCACATATAAATAAGAAAATGTTATGCATACACTTTTGTACTCACTTTAGAAAAATGACTAGAAACTGTAATGCATTTTAAGTACATTTGGTTTAAATTGGTCTAGCAACACAAAATACTTCATAATTAGAAAATGAAATTTTAAATTTTTTTTAACGTAATAAACTCGTTTTTTTTTAATATTTTGTTTTAAAGGAAGAAATTTATTAACCCTTTATATCCATTTCCAATCGTATTTTACGAATATAACCGATGTTTTTTTCTTAAAATAATAATTTAATAAAACAATGTTTTTTTAGAAGAGTGATTTCAAGATAGAAAATAACTGCGAAAGTATTTTCTTTATTTAATTAATAATATACTTGCTTTTTCAGCACTACTAATATAGTTCCATAAATTGAGATTTTTTAAAAATGAAAGACTCAATCCATAATTTTATAATTTTTTTATTTTGATCAATAGCTTTTATTTTAATAGTTCATTAATGTTTAGAGAAAGATTAAAATTAAAACTTAAAAACAGAGTAAATATTTTTAAGCTGAAAAAAGTGTAAAGGCGAAATTTTAAAAACGGTTTAATGATAATTTTTAAAATAATATATATCACTTTTTATTAGTTTTAGAATTCCTTTTATAAGCAGACAAGCATTAAAACCATGTCGCAATGCAAAGTATGAAGATGAATTGAAAAGTACACAACACTTATATTTTAAAATATTCGCAGCTGATTTTTTACATAGCATTAAGTAATAGTTCAGTAAATGTTCATATAACAGTAAAAGTTTACAATAACAAATAAATAATTTTTTAAACCATGAAACATTAAACTTTAGCGAAAAATGATACAGAAAAAGAATAAATAAAAATAATACCCAAAGTACGACAAAACATGAAATAAAATCTATCCAAAATACATACAAAAAGTGATGCGTAAGAAGGATAAATAAAAATTATAATTAAAATTATAAATAAAAATTATAAACACTATTAAACGAGTTTCAAATTTTTAACCCTTTGACACAGAATTATTATTAAGCATATTTTTCATACCTTTTATGCTGAATTTAGGTCAAAATGAGTGAAAAATATTACTTTTAGAATTTTTAATATTTTATGGTTCTGAAATACCGCATGAAACAAGCGGTGTCTTTTTCTGCGATAAAGGTAAAATATTCCATATACAGCACACTTCCAAACAATATTTTTTTTAAAATTTGCATTTATTTGCAGTTGTTTAGATCTAAGATAAATAGTTATTCATTAGTGAAATTTCTTTAATTTAAAAAGACAATTATTGGCAAATTATCGAATATGAATGGAAAAAAAAATTCAAACTACTTTTTTTGATTTTATATTTTAGTACAAATATAATTCCGATAGAAAGATCATTAAGCTATAAGACTGCTTTTTTATAATTAAAAAATATTAAAATATCTATTTTTTCTTGCAATTAGAGCGTCAAAAAGAAATATATAGAAATGACGCCAAAGGGTTAACAGGAACAGAACCTTAATAAAAATAAACAAAAAATAACATAGTTAAAAATTGAAACATCACATGAATTGGATGGATAAAATATCAGTTATATACAATAAATTTACACATATTTAATATGAGGATTAGATTTTTTAATGACTCAGATCACAAAAAAGCATTAAATTAAGCAAAAAGTTTCAATTCAAGTGTTTGTGTCAGGAACGCAGCATTTCTCGCTGGTTATCCTTATAGTTCAGCTGTTCGATCCTGAATTTTTTGTTGGCGGTGTAGTCTTAATTCCAACACAGAATATGGCAATAATCCAAAGATCATCAGTCCAGCCATTACATAGATCTTGATATCATTCACAAATATTGGACTGCAAGTAAAAGCTGTAGACAGACCGATACATTGTGCCATGAAGTAAACAGCAAAGGGTGCTTGCCAATCGTACGTAAATGTTTGAGCCAAATATGCTGAAATATAAAATTTATTAAGTTAATAAAAAGCAATACATGGCAAAAAATTTAAACTTAGGAAATGTGAAACTAAATTTCCTGATTAGCAACCATTTTTAAAATTGTTTTACTGTCAAGCAACAGAAAAAAAACTAGTAATTAATATTGAAATTTAAAGGTATTTTATTTTACCTACCATTATACCTACCTGAACTGTCTAAAACTGAATGATTTTTTAACCCTTAGTCATGTTGGGTGTAATAACATTTTTTTAAAAACTAAATGAGATTCTCATTTGAGTTCTGTTCGGTTTCTTATGTCAGAATGTGACATACATTGGCTTATGAAATTAGGAGAATTTTCAAAACTGGTCAATTATCTCCATTAAACCTTTGCTTACAGTGTTCCGTGTTGTACCATCACATGCGGTTTACATGTTGTATCAGTCGTATGCAGAAGGTTAATAAACATTTTTTTATAAAACTTGGTGCAAATATAAATTATTGTAGTACTTATAACAAACAAAATAAACATTCAACGATCATAATAGATGGACATAACCGTGCATACATAAATAACAATGAGCAGTATTGCATAATCGTACAATACTGCCCATAAGTTGCAACTATATAGAACTCATAAAATAAGTTAAAATTGTAGAGAAAACATGGAAAATATTATAAGAAAAAAACATTGCTGTATTTTGCTTTAGCTATATTAATACAATAATAGAAAGCACTCCTTTTGGCTGATATAATCGTGTCAGCTGATGACGAGATTAAAGCTATTCATTATTTTGTTTTCTGGCTTNATATATATATATATATATATATATATATATATATATATATATATATATATATATATATATATATATATATATATCTTGAGATTTCAGATCATCTTATCGAAATTACTGAAATGACCGAAGTAGCAATTATTGAAAATTTAAATGTGTGCAGAGATATAAAATTATACCGACATTTCAATATATGCTGTCATTAAAACTCCTGCGACATAGCTATATTTATATAAAGCTAGTGTTATTTATTTATATATTTGTGATTTTTAAAGAGCATAAGTCAGAAAAAGACGAAATATCATTATAGTCCTTTTAGCAAATACAGCTTTTGATATTTCTAAAAATAATTTTCTAATAGTACAAAGTTTTTCTTCAAAATACTTTGAAATAAAAAGACTCAACGGAGCATCATAAATCATGCAGCATCATTTATTCTGAAAGCCAGTGTCGTACGGTGTAAGTAGTGGCGCATAATCATTCATAAAACATAGTAACGTAAAGTAATTCCAGTTGAAATATTGTCCTGCTGCATGTGTCTTACAGAGAAAAATCGATCTAAAGGGGAAAAAGTATATGAAATATATCAGAGGTTCATAAGCAAATAGAAATCTCTTTGTATGCATTTTTCATGAAATAAAAATGCATTAAATTATTATTGCTATGAGTGAAAAACTTTCTGAAGTTATTAATTTGGAGTGCTTTTCTCCGAATCAAGCATTGTATGTTTTTATTATACTAAAAGTAAAATAATTATGAAACGAGTAAAAAATGTCATGTATATGAATCTTTCATTATGTTATTATATTCGCTGTACTAAAAATTGTTTGTTTTGTTTCTTTACTTGATATTAAACTGATGAAGCTAATGCAATGAGAAAAAATACACTTTTTTTCCTTTGCAATTATATAGGTATTGTATTATAATTACATACTGAATGTATATTATTCCAAATGTCCTGCATATTATGTCAAACGAGTTTCATGTTTTATTAAAAACATTTCATGTGACTTTGAAGTTATCTCGGTACCTTCGATCCAGAATCTCTATTAAATGATGTTCTCATATTTCGATATTTGTGTAAAAAATAAACGTAAAAGTTTGGAAATAAAAGTATTCATTAATTAAATTCTCCACTGTTTCAATTGCATGTCAACTCTCTGAGATAAGAAATAAAACTAAGTGACACTTTCTGGCCCAGACATTAAAAGATGCTTCAAAAGAGCTTCAATATGGCTATCTACAGTAATTAACAGATCAAAGCGAAATCCCAATCATTGTACTTTTAATTCGTTATTTTGTTCCAATGTGTTGTAAACATTAAATTTAGATGACAATTCATTTTATTGCTTCTTCTTTTACTTACATCATTGAATAATTTACATTTGATACAAAAAAGTTGTGTTCGGTGAATTTTTAATTAACTAATTTCGTTAAGTGGGTATAAGTAATAAGGGTATAAGTAGGTAAAGTGGGTATATTTATTAACTAAGTTGCATGTAAAACGCTTCTCTGACTTTCATTTTGATGACTTCTATTCCACCCACTTACTTTAGAAGCTATCTTTTCACTGCTCTTTTTAAACATTAAGTGTGTGCCCTTTTATTATTTGTCTCATTACTCTTAGGCCAGGATAGCCTGGTTGGTAGGGCGTCGGGCCCGTGTTCAAGTGGTCGTGAGTTCGATCCTCGCCGGCCTAAGACTCCCCGTGCATAAATGGATATTATTGCAGGATAAATCTGTGGGGTCACAAAGACCTCCATGTTTCTACAGCAAATCAATACTTCGGGGGGGGAGGGGTACTAAATTTAAGATTGATCATTCTCTGATACAGGTCTAAATTATGTTCTGTGGATGAATAAATGGATGTATGAATAAATGAATGTATGAGTAGGTCCGTCCTATAAACGGGCTGGGAAGTCGTATGCTTGGATATAGATGACGCCACTTAAAAACAGAAAACACACTCTCTGCCTTAAATTTGCTCCATTCACTAAGCAGACCTGCTGGCAGGCAAGTGGTATTAGAAACAACAATATCAACATATTTCTCTTGATTTTCTCATGTGTCGAAGAGATGCATAACGATACAGCAAACAATGGCCTAGTTGGAAACATTTTCTGAGACTGTTACTCCATTCTAGAATATAATTTTTATAAGTAATATTGAAGCAGATGAAATAAAAAGTGAAGTGAAAATAGAAAACAAAAAAGTGAACGCTCAATTAGAAAGTCGAATACAAAAGGGATATTTGATGAGCCAATAGAACTGAAAAAGACAAATACAGTTTTTTAAAACTGTCTTGAATGCGTGAATTATGTTCTTGACATTTTTCCTAAACTATTCTTGGGAAATATGTAGAATATCACGTCAATGTAGAATCATTTTATGCTATAAGAAGCTTAAACTATTGATATATTTCCGAAATTATATTTGGCAATTTCTTCTAAGTGGATACCATTCTGTTCCTACAAAAGATGTACTGAAACAAATTTTAAGATATCATGATCTTCGTTAAAAAAAAAAATCCCCTGTAAAGCGCCAATGTTCTAAAAATGGAACATCGTTAAAAACACGCTTAGAAATTTGTCACTGTCTTTTTTTAATTTTATAGCCTTTAGATACTATTACTTAACGAATTTATCAAATTTCAAGTAATTTGATTTATCTTTTATTAATTTGGCGTTTAAACAGTTAATAAAAAGTGTGACAAATCAATATGGAAAAGGGCTGATATCTTTTTACTTTGAATTTTCATAAACTTAAAACAAAGGAATTGATGTTAGCTTACTGGTCGTTAAAGTTTCCCATACAGCATTACAAAGGCCCCATCCAGCTGCAATGACATAAAAAACTGCCACGTCATCTCTAACTGGAGTCCATAACCATAAGACCATCAAAAGTCCAGCATGACAAACGACTGCCGCAAACATTATTGTCAACCTTTTAATGTGCTTGAAAAATTGATGAGCAGCCACAGACCCCAGAGTAGTCATTGCTCCCATGCACAACATAGTGTATCCAACAGCTTCTAATCCCATAGCACAGCTGACATATGACTGAAATAGTAAATGTAAATAATTAAATATATGAATAATGCAAATAAGTTTTCTTGAAAATTATTAGTAAAATAATTAGTTTTTCATTAAAGTAAAAATTCTTCTTTTTAAAAATGATTTGTGAGAATTAAAAAATAGCAGCATTAAAAAGTGAGATCACTGTGAAATACAGTTTAAAAATTCACTAGTAGAAGATATATCTAATAATGAATTGCTCAATAGCAAATCATTTAGAAAAATGAATTTGAAAAATGAACGAGTATCAGTATCATTTGATCTGTTAAAAATAAAATTCAAGTTTTTAGAACTATTTTGTTAAGCACACTAGTATTAAAATATCTTATAATATAAAAGTATAATAAATATAATAATATAATAAAGTATAATAGTATAATGAAATGCAAAAATATAGTAAAATATAATAGTATAACAAAATATAATAGTACATATATATCTAATATTGAATTATTTCTCAATTTTAACTTAATAATGCATCATTTAAAAAATGTATCAGAAAAGTAATAATATTATAGTGCTCATATATGAATAACGGGTATCAAAATACGATTGTTCCATTAAAAATAAAACCCAGTTTCTTAAAAATATTTTGTTAAACACACTACAGTGTAATAAAATATTAAGTTCTTCACTTTTTGTTTCTAAAAATAACTGTTTTAAAGCTGTATTTAAGCAAAATGGTAGGATTTCATAATTCTTGCTCACTAATAATTGTTNTAAACACACTAGTTTACAAACATCTAATAATATAATAGTGCAATAAAATGCAATAGTACAGATATCCAATATGAATTATTCCTCAATGGTAGCTCAATAATACATTTAGAAAAATGAACTTGAAAAATATTAACATAAAAGTGCATTTTTATGAATGACGTGTTTCGAAATAAGTATCATTTGATCTGTTAAAAAAAAAAATTCAAGTTCTTAGAACTATTTTGTTAAGCACACTAGTATTAAAATATCTTATAATATAATAGTATAATAAATATAATAATATAATAAATATAATAATATAATGAAGTATAATAGTATAATGAAATACAAAAAATATAGTAAAATATAATAGTATAACAAAATGTAATAGTACATATATATCTAATATTGAATTATTTCTCAAATTTAGCTTAATAATGCATCATTTAAAAAATGTATCAGAAAAGTAATAATATTATAGTGCTCATATATGAATAACGGGTATCAAAATACGATTGTTCCATTAAAAATAAAATCCAGTTTCTTAAAAATATTTTGTTAAACAAGCTACAGTGTAATAAAATATTAAGTTCTTCACTTTTTGTTTCTAAAAATAACTGTTTTTAAGCTGTATTTAAGCAAAATGGTAGGATTTCATAATTCTTGCTCACTAATAATTGTTATTTTTCTAATTATAGTCACTCTTCAGAAATAAAAATAATTAATTTAAATTTATAGATGGATTAAAATGATCATTAAAATTTTTGTGTAATTGAAAAAATTTTTTTGAACAAATATTAGTTTATATTAAGAGAATTTTTATTGAATTATTAACATTTGATAGTTATAACTACTTTTAAGAAAATGGAAAATATATATTAGTCAATGGTAAAATAAAGCATTAGAAGAGATTTTTTATTTGCTAAATAAACTTAAGTTGAAAACTACAGAAATATTTAAGTTGATATTTATGAACAAATTAACTCTGCTTTAATTAAATCCAAATAATAATTATTAAGAAAAGACTTAAATTTCATTCAAGATTTCGAAAATAAAAAAATAATTTTTTTAAAAGTATAACACAGTTACTTTTTTGCTTTCTTTTTTTTTTAGTTATTATAGTTTAATTTACATTTACCATTCATAGAAAAGACAATGAAACATAGTAAGTTACGTTAAACAAAACAAAAAGTAAAGTAGAAAAATCTATGAATGGTAAATAATTTTAAGCACATGTTAAGAATCAGACTAAAATTCTAATTTTAAACTGTCTTAAATAATGACATTTTAACCTTGCATTTTACTAACTGCGTTATGTAATAACCAGAAACTTTTGAAAGGTTAAGATTAAAAACTAATAATTTTCTATTTATTTAAATAACTAGAATACTTAGAGAATTTTAATTTTGCTTTAATCTTTTAATACATTTTAAAAATATTTATAACAAACCTATTTCATGTAAAGAAATAAAAATAAACATGTAATAGAAAAATACAAGAATTTTATTGTATGTAACGTTAAATCTAATTATATGTACTAATTTTGGATTTTAATATTATTATTATTTACTATTTCACTGTTGTTACTGTTTTAATTAATATTAATTACATTACCTTACATTTTAACATATTAACATATTTATATTAACACACGAAGTGAATATCTTCATGAAATATTTATTCTAAATAATAATTTCTGTAAATTATTGCTTTGAGGTAGGCTGATTCAGTGGAATAAAAAAAAATGCTAAAAATAATTAAAACAATTTTTTTCTCATACCACATGCCTTCGATGAACAAAGTAAGTAAAGATAATTAAAATCTTATCTATTTGTATCCCTGTACTCTACATGGCATTACATATATTAAGATTATTGTTTTATTCTCATTTCTTATTGTGTGTTAGATTTTATAATGCTTTGATATTAACACGAAATAAATTTTAGTTTAATTAGGTTTAAATTTACATTACTATTTTTTTCCTTCCTTTTTAAAACAAGTTATATTTTTAAATTTAAAATTATTTAAAAGTAAATTACCTTATATTTACGTTTAAAAATTAATATTTTGAATAAAATAATTTATTCTAGTTTAACATTTCATTCATTCATAACACTATTTCTTAAAATCTTTTTTCAACCTCTATATAATGAAGATGGATTCATAAATACTATTCGAAAAGTTATATTTTTATTAGGTTTTAAATTATTTAAATAAAGTAAAACAAAACACATCATTCAAAAATTTATCGCATTTTCCTCACCTTTACAATTTTTATTCAGCTTATTTGATATTTTTTAAACACATTTATGTTGACACAGGAAATAAATATTTTCATACAGTATTTATTTTAAATAATAGTTTCCGTAAATTATTGCTTTTAGGTAAACTAATTCAATGGAATTGCACATAAAATTAACGCCGAAAGTAATTCTCTTTCGAAATATTTTTTCTTATTTTCATATGTTTTCGTTGAATGAAAAAAGTAAAGATAATTAAATATTATATTTTTGTATCATTGCACTCTACATGGAATTACATATATTAAAATTATTTTTTTATTCTGATTTTTATTGTGCGTTTGTTTTTAAAATGCATTGTTTTAACAATTTGGTTTAAAACAGCTTCTGTACTTCTAAATTTTAACGCAAGTCATACTTTTAGGTTTAAAATTATTTAAGAAACTAATAACATATGTATTTACTTTAAAAAAAATCTATAATACTTCATGAAAGAAAATTATGGTCGAAACTGTCAGAATATGGTATAATTTACCTTTTTTCTTGCTCTGCGGGAACTTTTTTCCGAAGCACTTTGTTTATGATTCTGGTAAAATCTATATACATAATAATAAACGCGGCTGTGTGTCTGTCTGTAATCCCAATATATCGCCCCAGAAGCCTAGCCCAGGTACGAAACTCGGCACATAATTGTGTTTTGACATAATGAAGAAGTATTTTTTTTCTTTTTCAAAAATTTGGATTAGTTTTTTAGTTATCAGTCATTTTGTAAGAAAATCTATGCTTTTTCGTCTTCAAAGAGCCATATTCAAGAAACTATTAAAAAATGCATATACTTTTCTCCACTCTTATAAATGTATGCTAATGCGAACCTTACAATTGAAATATTAATTTTCGACAACTTAAACCAATGATATACGAAGGAATTAATAATTTAATTGCAAGTTTCGCATTAGTTTACATTTATCAAAGTGGAGAAAAGTTTAACTTTTGTATTAAAAATGTGGCAACATATTCGATACGTAAATAGAACGCTTCGCTTTGATATATTTGTCGCTGTTCATAATTGTTATAATAAGTTTTTATTCTTCTTTCCTCGCTCTATTTTTTATTCTTAAGCGAAGGCTATAATTTTTGTAGCGATATAGAAATAGAAATTGATACCATGAAAAATTATATAGAAATAGAAATTGATACCATAAAAAATTAATTCGTTTTCGCGTTCTTTTCACGTATTTAGCATTTTAGTTTTTTTTCTTCTTAAGCGTTGTAGCTATATAATATATAAAATAGGAATTTAATTGTTTTTGAAGGAACGATCACACTTACATTGGATCTCTCTGGTTTTTCTATTTTTTATTTCAACAGTCTTTATTGAATGCAATTAGTTATTTTCAGAAAGTTTCAGTTTGCAGGTAAGCACTTAGATTTTAATATTGAAGTTTCATGATTTGCTTTAATAGTAATTGTTGTTCTAAAGTATTCGTTGACTTCGTAAAAACCCGATTACTGACATGGCAGAACCGCCTTCCAAAAAACTTTGTATTTTGTCAGAGAAAAAGATATTAAGAGATTCTTAAAGAAAAAGAAGGGCCCAAGAAACATCTGTGGAACGTCAAAGAAGGATGGAACATGATCGAATTTCGACAAGCAATTCTAGAGCCCAAGAAGTATCAGAGAAACGTCAAAGAAGATTAGAAGAGGTTTTCAGCTATTGACCAATGATGATTTCGAAAGCAACTTGTGTGTGCCAATACACTTTCTGAGGCCTTTTTTTTTAAAAAAAAACAAGTCTCCACCGGATAGTTATATTATAGGTTAGGTTACCATAGCAAAGTTACATCTTCAAACATCCTCAAGAGCTATAACACATCTGCAGCAGAACTGGATATGAAGACAAAATTGCAGGACAGGAACACTTTAATTGTCCACTAATCTTCAGATTTCCTGCTATGTTTTAAAAAACTTTATTTGTGAAAACCTTTAGCGTGGCGGACAGCTGGCCGCCTTAGGCGACTAGTTAACAATAAAATCTGGTTTTATAAT